TAGCAGATTATAACTTATATTTATTTAAACGCATCAAGAATGTGCTATATTGACGTTTTATTATAGCAGATTATAACTTATATATGGTCCCTCGATCAATTTAAGATTAAAATTAAAATAAACGAATTTAAATTTGATCCTTTTTTCACTTTTCATTCATTCGTTGATAAAATAAATCACTGGGAGCTTGTTTTAGAAGTCGTAATTCATTCGACGTTGCAGTATTTGTTGTTGATAGTTGGTAGCGATTTCCGCCTGAACTTCTCTCTTCAGATTATCAGGTAATTCATCCCACACGGGTTGAGGCACAGTATCTGTATATATTAAAAATAACGTTAATTCTTCTAGTTTAAATATTACAATTTTAATTATTTTGAGATTAAGATGTTTTACTATGTTTAAATTATTTCTCGATAATTATTAAATGTATATCACATTTTTCATCTCTTTATATTCCTTCAAACTTTATAATTAATTACGAATGATTTAATCATCTTCGACGATGATGCATAAAATCTACACTTTGTAAAAATTGTCAGAATTTTTCATTTTACCTGTGCATTTGTATAATAAATCCGACCAAGTGATCATTTCTTGTGAGAAGCAGTAAACACCAAGTTTTCCACCTTGCAAGGTCGAATCGAATATGTTCCCAGAATCGACTACTAGCTGTGTGCCCTGGTACAGCCAGAATCTGATCAGGCCGATTTTAGGTCTGTGTAATAGATGCCATCTGTACGACACTCTTTGTTGCCAGCCAATCTTCCTCGGATCCCTCCACAGGATCCTCACCTCATTAGGAATATCTTCCTTATGCCAAAGACTATTCCGAAGCATTATGCCCGGTCCAGTGTCAGACTGGACGAGCCTCAACAAAATTCCAGGTTCAGCTTCGGCACGGAATGGAGCTGGTTCCCAGTAGACCTGTGCTAATTTCTTCCAAGTAACAACGTAGAAATGTCGATTATCTTGATAGGAAAAGACGAAGCCCACAAAATCGTCGTCGTCATCGTTATCGATGTAAAAGGTTCCTTCGAAATCGACGTTTGTCAGCTCGTCCGGTCCTTTATAAATATGAAAGATTATTATGAGATATAAAAATGCGATAGTTTGTGAAATTAGCTCAATCAATTTGCTATCATGATCAAATTTAAAAAAATACAATTAGCCACATATCATCT